TTTAAAGACACTTCTACAACCACACAGACCCAACTGGGACATCAGCAGGGGAACTTCCTCTATCGCCAGAGGCTATTAGCTCCTCAACGATCAGGTTTCCAAAAAAAAAAAGCTAATTCTGTGTGGCTGCCAAGATTACATTGCTTTACAAAGTAACAGAGTCACACAATGCAGGGTACGATGTGAAACACCAGATTTTACCAAGCAACAACGATCTCTTGAATAAAACTCACTGTCCCGTATAATGACTTACGGTATAAAGGGATATAAATGGGACACAGTGGAACCTGTGTAAACTATTTGTGATAGAAAGGCCTTTTACGAAAAAATAAACTGATTTTTTAGCTACAAATACATTTATATACTGTATAATATTCAGAGAAGTACAGGACAGACAGTCTATTTCTACTGGAAACATGAAAAATACTGTATAAGTACGATATGCAAATGCCACAATTTGCCAGTTACGACTCTTTAAAAGAATACCAGCTTAACTGACACAACTTGAAAGTTAAAAAGTATGCTTTTTTAAGTAAAAAATAATCTGTATCCTTTGTCAAGCTTTGAATGTTGCAGTACTGAATGTCCTCTTATTATACGAACAAGTTCACATCAGATATGTTAAAGTTTGGGAGAGGGATCTTAGACTGGGTAAAAAAGGAATCTAGTTTGGCGATTCATCCTTTAAGCCAGCAACAGAGAAAATGTACCAATGCACTCACTATCTGGCATCTCAGCAGACAATGATCAGCAATCATTACTGCACATTGATCAGAATCTTCAATAACTACAGCAGCTCAACATAATACTGTAAATGAGCAACGAAATAAAGGCTGCTTTCTGTAACATAAGATAGAGTTTTCCAAGCAGAAACTCACCACAGAATTACAACACTTGGTGTATAATGAAGGTAAATCTTGAGTGAAAAGATCAGAAAAATATAATAGCAGTATAAATTATGTCTGTGTAAACCAGAATTTCCATATGGAAATGGAGGTATCAGTGATGGTTTCAGTTGTGTACAGGCAAATCAGTCTGATTTCTGCAAGCAGGCATTTATCTCTTTCAGTTAACCGTAACAGGGACACAGCTAGATTCCACAATACAATCAATTCAACTCATCCTTCTTGCTGCATTAGGATATGGAGCAAACCAATTTTGAAACCACAATATTTGAAAATCCTTTTGTCAGACTTAATTTACAAAGATGACTGATAAAAAGTATGTTATAAGGAAGGACTCTGCACAGTGTTAGTTCACTGAACGCACAATGTCTAGGTTTTTCATATGGCATTAGGGCAAAACCTTATAAAAATGCAAAAACCTTTATTCCTCAAGCTATTTATTCATTGCAAGAGCAAAAGCATTGATCTCATTACAAGGAAACGGCAATAAGCACAGTATGACCTTAACAGAACCTGAGCAAGCTTTCTGCATTGCATGACCCACAAGCAAACTGTCTTCTATAAGAGTATTATTTGCTTGTACAGATGATGTCCAAGAAGATCCCTAGAAGCTCTGCAGATTAAAAAGGCATTTGTGTAATTGTTTGCCTTTATGTTATCACATACTGTATCACAAGGGTCTGGAAGTTATAGGGTCCATCGGAATTCTATTGACACTGCATGATAAAGCATGAGAAACAAATAACGCTTGGACAGCCAGATCGTTTCATTCTTTGGACACTTAGAGATCTTCCTGGTTCATGTCTTCAACATTCATGTTTAGCTCGGTTTCATTTATTACTTCCTCTTAACAGCTATAAATTGAAGTCTCTACTCTATAATGGCAAAGCTGTGCATAGTAGTACTGGTAAGTGACAATACTTCAGCTGTAAAGAAAGAAGACATAAAATTAAAGCTGGCATGTTTTATGTACCTGTGGTACGACTCACAGCTTCAAAGGTACTGCATATATACATGCTGCTCTGCACTGTTGTTAATGGAAATTTATCACCAAAGACCTGTTTAAGCAAACCCAACAAATTGTGTGCGATTCATATCCGCCTTGAGTTCAGAATGGATTTATGTGGGATCAAGGTAATTGAAACAAAAACCTCTTGATTGACTGATAATGGCTCTGGTGGCTTAGCGACAATATGTAGTCATAAAATTCGAATATTGAAGCAGTCTTTCCGAAAATATTTTAGCAAGGTGGTGTAAAATGAGCTATGCTTTGATCAGTCATCTGGAGGTGGTTACTCCTAAAATGTTTCATTAACGCTACTTAAAAAGAAAAAAACAGAGACAGCCCGCAAAACATATTCTTTTCATGAGTCTTTACTGGCAGAGATATGAGAAGTTTAGTCTTAAAAGTACACCTCACTACCTGGATCTGTGTAATGTCTCATCTCTCTTTCCTTAAAAACCAAACGCTTGCAATGAGAGTGACCCACAAAACTGAAACAAAAAAATAATGATTTCCTTAAAATCCTTTTTTTTACTGCTAAAAATAATCCCTTATCTTGTTTATAGAGAACACCAGGAAGCTGTAGAGCAGCATCTGCTCTAACTTTATAAAGTATCTCCAAGAATAAGCTACAAGTCAGAAGGTGTCTGCATTACTCAGCCAATCTTTCTGGGTGCCCTACTGTTTCAGCAATTTAACCTTCTGATGTGGTCAGTGTAGCTACATGAAGAACTTTCTTAATTAAACAACAATTTGTAAACTTCTTTCCAAACCTTACGGCTTTGCACTTTGCTTTTAATGGCTACAGGAAGCTGCTTGTGCAAACATTCCACCGTTTAGTAATTGTTCAAAGTCACGCTAAAAGTATTTTCACTCAGGCCCACACACTGCCTGTTGTATTTAAATCCTATATGATATTTATTGCATAGAGAACAGAAACATTCAAAGAAATGTAACATTTTGGATACATTTTATGTGTAAAAACACTGTATTTATCTTGGCATATTTTATATGTGAAATATCATTGTAATTACATATGCTAATTACAATGTTATTACACAAAATAGAAGCAAAATGACACCCATGAAAGAGAATAGAGCAAGCCTAGAGCTTTCTTTAGCTCTAAATTTATATAATTACTACATAGCACAACAAAAACAACGTCTTTAAATATGATCATACCAAATTAGAACTGATACATATTACATTTCTAATGTAGTGTACATAATATCCATTCATCCATTTTCTAACAGCTTCATCCAATGCAGAGTGGAAGGGGAGCCGAGGTCTATCCTGGCAAGAAAAGGGCACAAGGTAGGGTACACCCTGGATAGGACACCAGTTCATCACAGGGCAGACACAGACATGAACACGCTCACAACAGGCCCAATTTATACCCAGGATCCAAGTAAGATACCAGTAATGTATATGTTTGGACTGCGTTCGGAAATCCTGGGGAAATCCACATGAACACAGGAAGAACATACACACTCCACACAGATAGCACCCTTGGTATGGAATTGATCCCAGGACCCCAATGCTAACACTGTGCCAAATATGAATGTAGACATAAATTTAACATTTATCAGCAACATCTGTGATCAGCAGGGGGATCTACTGTTAAAGTCACAGGCTGCCACTTGGTATGGCCATAGTTGGCCAATCTGTACATCTGCAGTGCATGTCCTGCTGCAGGCTGCAGATGTCTTGTGGGATACCGTCTCATCAGTTTCTAATAGCCAGGACATGCATGGGCCGTATTCCCTGGTCTCTGAGCCCTAGATGCCACATGTGATTCCCGCATTGTTCAATGGGGTTAAGGTCTGATCAGTAGGGTACAACAGCCACATTCATATCTCATGAGAAAGCCAATCTTAGCCAACCAACATGAGGACAGTGTCGTCCTGCTGATATGGTGTCACAGCAGAATATGAGCCAGATGTGCTTCAGGCTGCCATCAGTCATGATAAGTGGAGCTCTGTACCAACTGAAGCCACTGCAGTCAGAAAACACTGCAGTCCTCAAAAGACTCAACTGGTCTGTTGTACACAACAACCTGCTTATCATTCTGCACATCTATGTCACATTCTACACTAGACCTTGACTCATCGCCAACGAGAACTTGGCTCCACGGCTGTAGGTTATCCTGGAGGTGTTTCTCCAAGATAACGATGACACCTACACGTTGCTCTCTTGATACATGAAGAATATTGGTTCCTTTGTGGGTTTTTCTCTCTTGATTTGCACCAGGCTTGACATTTGACATTTCAAATCACTTCATCAGCAGTGACAAATCTACACTCTCAGTAACGAGCTTTTATCACAGAGCCACTCAATGGTACTGCGGACAGTGATGAATGATCAATTAATCAAAAAGTGAATTTCTATAGTCAGAATATGTTTGTAAATGCTTAGACAGTAACACTAATTATGTGAAATCTGGAGACAAAAAATGCTGGGGACAAATGAAGAAGTCAAAGAAAGTGGACAATCTTTAAAAGAACGAGACACAAACTTCTGCAACATACTGTTAGCTGGTTGAGATTTTCCAGGTTATACACTCTTAACTAAACAGTGATTTGTTTATATCAGCACCATGAGCATAAATCAGAAAGTTATACATATATGTATATATAGTAATAACTTTGGTATATATACAACAATAACTATTCAATCTGACAAGATGCCTCAGACCCTCTAGGTTCAAGGGTCATTATCGCACTGGTAAATACCAATTAGCAATTCCATTTGTCTTCTCAAGCAAATATGGTCCTTTCAGAAAAAAGGATGATTATAACCATTTGCTTGCAGAAGACAAACAGCCCTAATAGTTAATGCGCAATGTTGCCAGTAGAAAATGATCTTCGTTGAAGTAGGAAATTCCTACCAATTATCCTCTTTTGCTAGAGAAGAAAAGACACCATTCAATACCACGTTGGCCATCTGTATTTTTACGTTGTGGTTAAATTACATCCATGGTCTCTTGGCAGACAAGCCTTTCCTGGAGATCCAAATTATCAATTTATAGATATAAAGATTTTAATGGCTTGGGGTGGAAAGAAAACAGGGCTGAGTCCTGGGGCCAGGCTTACCTGCTGTTTCAGCTGGTGTACCAGCCTGTCTTTTTCACGTTTCAGTGCCATAACTTCTTCCTGAGTCTTTTTCTTCTTGGACGCAGACAGCTCCAGTAAGGCAATGTTTGCATCTTTTTCACTGATTGCAGCCAGCAGCGCCTCTTGCCTGGGGGAGGAATCACACATCAATACCGCTGGCAGAAAACACAAGGACACAACCAGAAATCAATGCAACATGCACAATACCCTCTGTATGGTACTGTGCATGCTTTCAGGATACTATTGTTTTTTATCTAATTTGGAGCATCAAGGTCATAATAAGACACAACAGTGGGCTGCAAGACAGTAAAGAAACACACACGCACATGTCTTAATAATTAAAAGGATGCCTATACGGGCATTAAAGGAAACAGAACAAAATCATTGTTTTTTGTTAACAGCAGAAATTGGGGAACTTAGCATTAGGAAAGCCTGCAAGACTGCAAACACACTGGGAAATAAACCAGTGTTACACATCAGGTCATATAAACAAGAACCCCAGACATGAGGCAAATGGCTGGTGTCAATTGTGTGGTTTATTTGTCAAGGAACCACACAGCTCTGACAACTGCTTTCTTCTTTCATCAAAGGCTGATTTTTACATAAAAAAGAAATTAGAAAAGGTCGAGTTCCCCCTGTAAGTGCGGTTAAATGATTGTGATATGTCAATTAGGAAAGATGACTATTCCTTTTAAATGGAACCTTTATATTGCAGCCATCTGGCAGGATACCATAAGTCACAACTTGTGGCACAAATGAATCCAACTTATTTATTTTTCTTGAGTTGTAGTGAAACATGATTTCTTTTTACCATTGCTCAATTCCTGAAAATATAATGGAGGTGTTTACAGTCCGTGTTATTTATTTCAATGGAAAGCAGCTAATACAGTAATACAGTTTTCCAATGCTTTCACTTAAAGAATAAGAAAAACAGTATAGGCCTCATTTTAAAATCTTGCTGGAGTTTGCCAGTACTGTCTGAGATGAGGATGATCTGTTACTGAGCCCATGTAATCACATTATTAAAAATGGTAAAGACCTGTCACAGTTTTCAGAAAAAAACAACACAATAAAATTCACTGGTCAAAGAAGTATTTCCAAGTGGCTAAGCATTCCCACATGAAGTAACAGAAATTATGCGGGGTACTTTTTACAATCAGCAACAATGTTCCGTTTTCTCAACACTAAACACAGTAGTGCCCCTGTTTAAAAATGTAACTCAACTGTGACTACTCAGCTGCTGTAAGAGTTCGCTAAGATCAAGGATCAAGTCCAAGGACAGAGACTCAAAAATATGTTTCTGAGTAAAGGGTGTTAGAGTATATTTGATATAAAAAAGACTTACAGACCAAAACATTTTATGGCTTGCAGGATTTCCAAAAAGAAAGCATTTGGCAAATGGAGGCCAGTGTTCTGTGCCTCTAACTTTTAAGAATCAGATGGATACAGACTTTCTATATGCTTCTTTAAAATCCACTAGCTATGTTATAAATGAACTCCTGGGGCCCTCTGAGGCATGTGTGTGTATATAAGAGCAATGAAATGAGAAAGAAGAAATTTATCAACCATTTCCCTTTTCCAAGGCTCTGCTATGGACTGAGAAAGGGTTCCCCCTTTAATACAACATCTATTAACTACTGGCAAGACTCCAAAGAGTCATCAAAATCTATCTTTGTGTGCTGCTTCATGGATCCATGTCAGATTTTGGCATTTCAAGAATATCATCGTTAAGTTTTCTGTAACGGATGCTGCCAGTAGCCCCCTATTAAAAGAAAACAGAAATCAAGTGTATAACGACCTACTCATGCCAAAATGACACTGTATTATTTCAAAAGAATGTGAAATTAAATGGTGGATTACCATTAGCATCAGTTTGCTTTTTGATTGTATTTAATTTGCATACAATTATGTTTAGTTTGGCCTCTCGTTTTCTTTGACATTTTTTACTCCAACAGCAAAGAATGCAGCTACATTTCTTCCTCTTAAATGCAAATTACACCTTCTACTGTACATGCACAATATTTTCAGAATTACAAAACATTTTATAAATTACCTAAGTTTAGAATCTAATGAGAATGGATGAGGGTTGTTCATGTGTGCTTATGCAAGATGTCCTTTCAATTAAAAAGGTTTCTCTGTTTGCCCCTTCAGAATGTGTTGCTTTTTCCATGCTTTTAGTTCCTACTGTAAAAACTTTGCTCCAAAAATAAACATCACCCCTAAGTAAGAAAGCCTTATACCTCTGGAATTTGGTACAATGTTTTTGGTACAATTATCTGAATAAAACATCTGGATTCGCCCAGTTTATACAATTAATTGTGTCTAGCGTAGATTGCTGGATGTGGATTCTGGAGCTTAATCGTACCATTAATCAAACAGCTCAGCTGCCTAAATTGAATATCATTTCATCTCCCAACACCTCCCATGTTATTTCACTGAAGTTCATTATGACTAGAACTGAAATAAGGAATTCCAAAAGACAGCACGTGCACTTTAAAAGTGCATTTACTGTATGAAAGCAATTTGGTATTCCCTTCCAACAGAAAATTATCTGACATAGGCAAGCTAATAAATGTTAATAAAGCTACTTGCACTGCATATATATTATGTATAGAAACAACAAAATACTTCCTTTAAGCAAAGGACAGTGGATGCAAACAGAAAGTTGTTTAAAAGAAAACTGTATACATTATTTTATCAATGTGAGGCCTGAATATGTCACGGACAACGCTTTTTAACTAATATGGGCAAGGAATGGAGAAGTATGTGCTGAGAACTAATAAACACTTTTGGAAGATTGACAACAGATACTAACACACTGGTAGAGGGTGGTATCAAGCTGTCACCCAATTACTCCAACACTGCTTACACCAGAGAACACAGATTGTTTTGCTCTATCTTTAAAGGAGTTTTCCTAACCTCGAGAGCAATTTTCAAGGGTCACACCAAAACAAATCTTCATCCTGGGAGCTAGAGACATAACTCCCTTTTCCCCTTTCTCCCGTCCTTCAGGACGTACAAAGATCAATCACCTCCTTATTCATCTGCTTGGTCACACAAATATTTGCTTTTGTTTCTTGCCGCTGTTGGTAAGAAAAGAAATGTCTGAGTCTTATTTTAAAATATTGCTGTTTTGAGATTTGCCTGTTCTGAGAAAATTCATACAATGCACAATCCTAATACAATTAAAGCCACCCACGTAGCTTTATCCAAACCCTTTTACACTTACTTTGTAAGTATCGAGACCATGTTTTTTTCTGTAGGAAAAAATCATCTATGATGTTGTCAGTCTAGCATTTTCAGAATAAATGGACAATGAAATGCAAAAGCGAGGTTAAATTACAACTGATTGATAAAATAACCCATGCTTCATTGAAACTGAAACTACTTCCAGGCTCCTAATTAATACATTAATAAAAGGGTCCCCAGCTGTCCTGGACTCCAGAAACTCTTTTCTCCATGTTATTATCCAGACTGACCTGGGTGATAGTGATGACAGATCTCTTCCGAAAGCCAAGAAAAGGGCATCATTTTGATTATCCACTCCATTATATTTGCCCCATGCTGTGCACCGGTGTACTAATTCAACGCCTGTTTTAAAAGGACTAATTTTTATTGCAGAAGTAAATCATTATTAATTTAAACTGTCACTAGGCCACAGAACTCTGAACAGGCTGCTACAGATAATTCCTTCAACCTGTTTCTTTAGTCCATCCTTTATTGGAAATCCGTTTATTTCTGGTAAGATCTGTGACAAGCTGAAGCCTATCCTGTAAGCATAGAGCACAAAGCGGGGATAGGGGGGACTACACGCTGAACGAGACACCATTCATTCCCCGAGCACGTGCACACACAAATTAAACAATTTTGAAAGACCAATTAACTGAGCCAACACACCTTTGGAAAGAGGGAAGAAACTTGACTTGGAAAAAACCTACACAACTACTGAGAGAACATGTAAATTCAACACAGAAGGTGCCCTGGTTACCTCTGGAATAAGGATCCAAAATGTAAAATGATGCTGGTTAATAATGATAGAAACATCCCTACAGTAAGAGGGAAATGTTTTTTTTTAAGAGGGAAACAGGTTTTCTTAAATTGTGAAAGGCGCAGTGACTGCTCACTGCCATTTACAAGGAGGTACACTGTTGTAATTAATCCAAAAACACCACGTCTGGGAATGATCATGGAAGTTACATGTTGTGTTTAGCACAGGCATCATTTACTATAGATTCTTAGAACTGGTTCATAAATTTAAAACCTAAGTTTAAATCTGAAATCCTATTCCTTATTCCCACTTTCTTAAGATCTACATCTCAGATGTGGACAATTCACTTTCCTCATTTCCATGTCTCTCCTCAAAAAGAAAACAGTGTGGTGAAGAATAATCTAATAATCACATTGTTTATTCTGCCTAATCCATACCCTCATGCTTCAAAGGAGAGAGACATCTGAAAGAAAGTACGGAGCATCTCAGATATTCCTCATGTTGTTCATGATGGATGAGAAGACAATGCAGCAGATCAGCTGGAGGAGCAAAGGATAATTCACAGGCCAGCTTTGGAGGTGGGTATGAGCGAACAAAACATCAGAAAGAAAAAAGAAAGCAAAAAAAATTACAAAGAGCTGAATTTCTCCTCCTGATTGTTTTTTGCCATCTAGAAAGGTGCTAGGATTCATCACATTTTCCAGAGCTATTAAATGAATTGTTTTATAACCTGCACAAGTTACAATTAAATACACTTTAAAAAAGTTTTATTAGGCATGCTTAATTTAAAACACCACGCTCACAAAGATGCAAATCATTTTAGTAAAAGCCTTCATGTTTCAAGTAATTGGAGAGCTTCCATGTAAAAAACACTGGATACTTCGTCTTTTAACGGCCCCAAAGGCCCCCTAACTAGAGTGTTGTGGCTGTATATCAGCAAAGCTGTCAGTGCAGTAACCACATGGATATTAAATGCATGGCTTTTCAGAAACTCACTCTGGAGGTGTGCTGGTGTTCACGACAGCAGCAGTATTACCGTAGGAAAGGTTTGAAAATTAAAACACGGAATTTGGCATTAAACCTGACAGTTTCGACACTGGTTGTTCAGAGGAAGAGAAGCTTGTCGCAAATACAGTACG